TTACAAATGGCTTCCAGAGACCTGCTGGAGTTTCAAAGGAGGGGAGGAACCAGCTGAGTTTACGGAATGTGCACCAAGTGCCCCTTGGAATAGACACAGGGCCACACCCTGTCTGAGGAGACACAGGGCTATGACGGAGGTGGGGTCCAGGGCCCCGGTGGGATGGATGGAGCAGGACCCACGATGCAGGAATCCAGTCAAACCCTCCAAACCCCCAAAAAGGGCCCCCAAAGAAATAGAAAGCAGAAAAAGGAAAACATTAAGGATGCTGCAGGGCCCGGTTTGAGTCTCCAAATGGGAAATATCCACACTCGCTCCTGTTCCAGGAGAGCCTCTCCCACTGTGACTACATCCCCACCAATCCCAGAAGGGTCCCTAGAATCACTGCCTCAATCTAGTGGGTCTCAGGGCCCACTGGGAGCTGTGATAAACAGGAAGGCTTTGGGCTCAGGATGTCAGGGGAGGGCACCACCTTTCTCCTCCTCCAAGCCCTCAGTTTCTTTCTTGCTGGCAAAGTATAAGCCTTAGTCCCTTTTCATCATCAATTACATGCCCCAGCCCTTGTGTTAGAACTTGGGCCCGGAACTTGAAGAGGACTCTCAGAAGCACAGAGAAATGACCCGCCCTTGAAATGGATTTGCTTATGGAGAGAGACAGGGAGTAGGTGTCAGCAGCTGTGACCAACCCCAGCTCTCTTCCAGAAAAAAAACCCCACCCCAGTGTCTTCAAAAGTCACTGGAGCACAAGATAGGGAGAAAGGGGGACCTCTGGCCAGCCCCAGCTGCTCCAGTGGTCCCCACTCTTCAGGCTGGGACAGGACAAGGAGAGGGACACATTGGCTGAGGCTGCCACAGAGCTGGCAGGAAGTATGCGGAGCAAGTCCGAAGCGTACACATGCTGACCGCGCAGCCCCAACGTGGCCATCCTCTTCCCCCCGCCCCGGGCTCCTGGCGGAGGCCCCCAACCCACCCAGCCCTCCCCAATCACCGCCAATTCTGGCAAAACGGCAGAAGCTTCTTAAACTCTAGATGCAAGTTACACGGAAGGCCTTATGGGTTAACTCAGGGGTTCACTAATTCTACTGTCTCCATGCAGTCGAGGGAATGGGGGGCGGCTGGCCTGGCCTGGTTGGCTGCAGTGCCCGCACATGCGTGTGGTCACATGTGTACATGAGTTATGTCTCTACAGGGACCCCACCCTCCCCGCCTGCTTTCCCCCTGCCTCATCCTATGCCAGATTCGGTTGGCCATGTTCATTCTTCCCTCCCATGTGGCTGGCCCAAGTGGGCTGCCTGAGGTGACCCTGCTTAGAGCAAGGGGCTCTTGCCACCAAGAAGTCCCACCCCCCTCCCATTTGTAGGATGAGCATGGAGACCCCACCCACCTGCCCGCCACTGGCTGGCCACACAGGCAGGTACATGGACAGGGAAGGCGTCTGGATTTGGGTCCCACTCACTCCTCCCTAACCCCCCTCGACCAGGGCACAGTGACTTCTGGACGCAGTGCGATCCCCAGCATCCCCTCCAAGACGACGCAGACAGAAACCTGTGGAGAGAAGGGGAGGATCAGGGCCTGTGTCCCTTCAGCCCCAATGACTGCACCAGCACCCCGCATGCAGCCTCCTCACCTGGCAGTCGATACACTCCTCTAGACCCCGTAGAAGGCAGCCAGCCTTTCCTTGAGCAGCGGTGGGAACTGCTCTGAGAACTGCTGCCAGTTCTCCTCCCCAACCTGGTCTTTGAAGCCATGGAGAATCTGCGTGGGGGAAAAGGACACCCAAAGCAGCTCGAGATGAACTCAGCCTCTCCCTAAGAGGATCTCCCCGCTGCCACCTCTCAGGACTACATCAGGGCTAAGTGGGAGCCTCACCTTATAAAACATGTCCCGAAGGTCATCCTTCGGGCTCACCCAGGAGGCTACAGCGTCGCAGAAGAAAATAAAGTCCTGAAACGCGACGGATCCTGTGTGAGGGGCCGCCCAAGCCCAGCCCCAGTGCCTTCCCTCAGAGCCCAGCCGCCCCAACCTGCACAACGCCCCCAGGGTTGACGCCTATCATCATGCAGATGCCTCGGAAGGCCGAGTCCTTCTCCTCGTTGTCCCTGATGTTCCTGAGGGACGTGCACCTGTGGGGAAGGTGAGCATCGAGGAATCAGCTACTGGAGCTGGGGCAGGAGGGGCATCCATGAGGGGCAGTGGGTGACAGGGCTGGGGTGGGCCATGTGTTTATGGGGTGTGGAGAAAGCAGGGTGTCAGTGGGCAATGGGGCTGGGACGTGCAACTACGGATGAGCAGGGCTAGGTGGGCACAGGTGAGGGGACGGGTTAGGCCTGTCCCACCCACCCTGCTACCCAGCCCACCATACGGCAGGCCCCACACAGGTGAGCACACACCAAGGCCGGATGAACTGCTGCAGCATGGGTGCCACCTCCTGTGGGCACACGTAGCCCAGGCGGCCGATGGTGATGGCTGGAATGGCAGAGGGACTCGTCAGGCGACCTGCAACCCCGAGCGGCCCCGGGACGGTACGTGGCGGGGCCTCTGGCATGAGGCACCAGCCCCGCCCCTCAGGCCCCAAGGGAATAGCTCCTGCCAGCTGTCTGGCCCACAGAGCTTGGCCCAGCATTGGTCTCCCCCGAGGCTAGTATCTTTCTTGCTGCTCCTCCCAAAACCCCTTCCAGACCCTTCTAGACACCTTCCCTGGTTCTTTCTCAAAGCCTCTTCTCAACTCCCAGCCATGAAGCCCACCTCCAGGAGGTGGGCAAGGGAGCAGTGGTGGCCCAGACCTGGTGCCCACCTGTGTTTTCCAGCAGTGTCTTGGGTGTGTTGGGCCGGTTAATGATCTCCACCAGGTTGTTGAGGACCATTTGCACGTAGGGCTGCATCTCTGCCCCTGTGGGACCAGCCAGTCAGAGCCTTGCACAACCCACACCACCCACACTGACTACCCCAGTTTCATCTAGACACTGGCTAATTGCAACTGGCGAAGAAACGAAAAACTGGCTGGTCCCCAGCCCAGGACCTGTGGCCAACCCAAGATAGATCCACACCTTCCAAATACCAGAAGCTACCCCGGAGTCATCACTGGACATCAGGGTGAGGCCACATGGACCAGCCTCCCTGCTGGGGGATGGGGAAGCTGCCAGTCTCTATAAATCCCAGTGGGCCTTTCAGCCAACTGCATGCGGGTTGGGAGGTGGCAAACAGTCCAATCAGAACAGGTCTCCTGTACTGCCTCTTTGTAGAAGCCAATTACAGAAAACCTTTCAGCTATTCAGCCTATCTCTGATAAAAATGCTCAGAGGTGTCCTCATGCCCCTGGCCCATGGAGCCTTCCTCAAGGAGCACCAGCGCCCTCTTGAGGGGACCAGGCCAATGGGGGAGGGGCAGGGCCAGCCCACCTGCAGGGCACTCACTCACCCATCTGCATGCAGATCTCCCCAATGGCCCAGGTGGCATTGTTGCAGACAGAGATGAACTCGGGGTTCAGGTTGGTGCCCAAGATGGGCATGAACTCAGCTGGTGGGGAGAAAGAGGAGTGCTGAGCAGGAGGGCCCACCAACATGAGCTTCCAGACCTGGCCAGGCAGGCCCCATCAGACAGTACGAATACACCCCAGTTCGGTCACAGTACTCCCCGGTCATTGCTCCATCACCTGAGGCCAGGGCTGGGGTCTTGGGGAAAGAACAAGAAAGGTGTCATACCAATACAGGGCTTGACATGGATGAAGCAGGCTTTGGTGAGATCTCCCAGGAGGGCAAAGGAGCTCTGCCGGACCTCGGGCATTGAGTCCTGGGGGTCAGAGCAGGGTCAGCGTGGCAGGGCTCCCTTACCCCCAACCAGCCTGGGTTCCCAACTAATCCCTCAGCACAGGGCCACTAGGGGGGCAGTCCCTAGAGCAAGGCCTGACTCTTTCACTTCCCAACACCGAGGCTGCAGGACCCTGTATATTGGAACCTGGGGAACATGTGAATGAGTGCCTTGCTCAGGGCACTGCTACAGAGGAGAGCACATGTAACTGCTGACCATCCTGCTACACAAGTTTAGGGTGATGTTAGAGGGACTTGTGCTTCCACATTGCCTATTTTCTACTTTTTAATGTTCTACACTGTTGGCTTGAAAAATGAGCTTTTATACTCATGTCTTCTTTGAATCCCTTTAAAAAAATTACAAGGATTTTTTTACAGGCCTCTTTTCCCTGATGTCCTTGGAGCACAAACAGTGCCCTGAATCCCCCCAGGGTGGCCCATACAGACTGGTTGGTATCATCACTGTGAGTTAGAGGCCTGTGAAGGGCACTCACCCACCTGCATGCATTGGAACAGCAATGTCATGATGTTGCTGCGGGCCACCAGCTGCTCCACATGGCCACCCAGGCCCTCAGCCAGGCCGCTGAGCAGGTCTAGTGCCACGATCATGAAGTCCTTGTCGGGGGCCTCATACTGTTCAGGGTGCTGAGTGTACATCTGAGCACAGATGGCAGTGGGCAGGCAGGTGAGGAGGATGGGCTAGGGCTGGGGCAGCAGCTCAGGAGTGAATAGCGGTGTGGCAGAGGAGAGGTGCTCACCATGGCCTGGGCCAGCGTCTTCTGCACCAGGGTGACACAGCGCTGGTAGACAGGCTCGCAGTAGGGCAAGAAGCCGCTCTGCAGGGCAGTGGCCACGGATGACAGACACTGGCAGGAGGAAGGTAGGAGAGGTGAACTCAGGCAAAGTGGGGAGGGATTACGGGAGGGAGCCTAGAGCCCACCCACCTCCAACAGAGGGAAGAGGTCCTTGTCTTCATCCTTGAGCTCATTCCACTTCTGAATGAGTGGAGGCATCAGCTTCTGGATGTATTCCTAGAGGGAGAGCAGGAAGTTGGGGCTCCCTAGGCAGGGGTAGCATCCTAGATACCAGCAGGCCTGGGCTCCTCACTGTGGCTCATGGGGCCCTGCAAGACCTCGCCATCCAGCCAGACCTCCGGGCCCTTCTCACCTGTCCCAAGCCCAGTTCTATCCACCCCTGCCCCCTCGGAGCCTAGGTCAGCACCTCCTGGTTCCCGTAGGCCCCTGAGCTTCCCCAGCAAAGCACTTACCACACTATCCCATAACTGTCTCCCCCACTAGACTGAGAGCATGGCGAGGGTGGGGCCCGGGTCTGTCTGTCTGCCTGTTGAGGTCACGGCCACATCCCTGGCGTGCAACACAGGGTCGCCGCCAGGTCACTGGATGCCAAGGGACACAGGAGATCAGAAGGGAGCCACTGGGGGGTCTCACCGGCTGGTTGAGGTGGTGACCCACAGAGTCGGCCAGGGTGCCAATGGCATCATAGAGGATGAGCAGGTTCTTGTGCTGGTACTTGCCAAAGGCAAAGACAAGGGTGTCCAGAATATAGCTGAGGTAGGGCACCAGCTCCGTGCAGGCCTCTTCCTCCAGGGTGGCGAAGGCACTGGAAGGCAGGAAGGGCTCAGTGGGCATCTACTGATGGGGCTGGGCCATATGCAGGTGGAAACAGGAATTGGGGGTACTTGGGATCAGCCAGTACGAATACATTAGACATCAGTGGGATGTCAGGAATAATGAGTGTCGTCACTTCCCAGAGAGCAGCTAGTGGGTTAGGGGTGGGGACTGTGGGGCCAGGGTGGGAAGTTACCTGCAGGCTGCCTCCTGCACCCTCTTGTTGCCATCCAGGATGCGCTTGAGCAGTTCCGTCATCAGAGGCTTGAGGTGCATGTCGGGTGGCTGGCTGACCACCCAATGGGCGTAGCGGCTCAGTGTCCAGCAGGCGATGGAGCGGACCAGGGCCTTCTTGTCTGACAGGCACTGGATGAGATGCGGGATCAGCTCGGGCAGGTAGGGCACCATGCCCTGCATACAGCCTGCAAGGATGGCACGGGGGCAAGCCTGAGCCCAGCTGAGCCTGGACACACCCAACTTTACAGGAGAGGATCAGGCTGTTGCACCTGACAGACGGAGAAACTGAGGCTCAGAGGTTAAATAACTGGCTCACAGTCATAGAGCCTGTGAAAGGTGGGGTCAGGAGGGGAAATAGCATCAGAGTAAAGCTTGCCCCACCATTCGTTAGGTCCACTCCGTCATGGCCACTCATTAATTTAATTCATAGATAACCGGGTTGCACAGTGACTCAGGCTTTGTGGGCAGCAGTGACCCCAATAAACGGAAAGTACTTGTCTTTTGAAATTTTTCTTGGGTATTTGTGATTTTTCTATTTTTTTTTAAAGCCACGAGTATGCTTTTTAATTAGAGAACAGATAACAGGATATCCTCTAATAATCCAAGGCAAGCAATCTGTTTTTACTGGTTTAGGACCAATTCTTGTAGGTCTTTTCCCATGAATAAATAGAACACCTAACGTAGTTGATTAACCCATTTTCCCTTTGCCCCAAGAAAAGGGAAAAGGTCTGGCTGGATGGCGAGGTCTTGCAGGGCCCCATGAGCCACAGTGAGGAGCCCAGGCCTGCTGGTATCTAGGATGCTACCCCTGCCTAGGGAGCCCCAACTTCCTGCTCTCCCTCTAGGAATACATCCAGAAGCTGATGCCTCCACTCATTCAGAAGTGGAATGAGCTCAAGGATGAAGACAAGGACCTCTTCCCTCTGTTGGAGGTGGGTGGGCTCTAGGCTCCCTCCCGTAATCCCTCCCCACTTTGCCTGAGTTCACCTCTCCTACCTTCCTCCTGCCAGTGTCTGTCATCCGTGGCCACTGCCCTGCAGAGCGGCTTCTTGCCCTACTGCGAGCCTGTCTACCAGCGCTGTGTCACCCTGGTGCAGAAGACGCTGGCCCAGGCCATGGTGAGCACCTCTCCTCTGCCACACCGCTATTCACTCCTATTCCCTTGCCAGCAGCACATGTAGCTGCAGCATTTACTCCTAGATAATTCACAGATTACAGTCCTAACATCACCCCCAAAGTTTACCACGAAATACCTCACTTCATTATTATGTTACTATATTATTATTATTTTCACATCTCTAGTAAATCGATAATCTTCGGAAACAAATGACATTCTATTTATAGCATTCTGTTTTTAGTAGTGGTATATCCATTTACAAAATATAGTAATTCTCCATCGCTGAAAATGTCATATCCTACAAAACGTAGCATTCCTACATGTGATGTTAAATTAATGCTGGCAGCGAGCTGCACTTTTTTCTAAATAGGAAAAGGGTTAATATGTGCACATGTATTATCATAAGCTATATTACACTTATTATAACCTTTCCTTAAATAATTTTGAAAGCTCTCTTGCTATGTCTGAACTTTTTAGGATAGTCCTGGATGCCTAAGAGGTCATAAGTGATGCCTGTTAATAGACTCGCAAAGCCCTCTGGTCATCTAAGCTGTATATCCCATTGGGATGAAGGGAACCCAAAAGCCACAGCAGTAACGACGCACCATGTGAAGTTAGAAGAAACACCACCACTGCACATTTATTCTGGGAGTCCAGCCCATACCTAGGAGCAGGTCTGAGACCCAGCTACACCCTAGGTGACTGGAGAAGTGAAGTACATCCCTCTATACCTCAGTTTCCCCATCTATGAAACCCACCTCATCAGGCGATGGTGAGACCATGGGACCAGGCTGCCTGCCATAGGACAAGCACTGCAGAAGTGGCTGTTCTTATTATTGCTATAGCTATGGTTATGCTTATAACCTTACAGAATTGCTTGTCTGAGAATTCAGAAGAGGGCTTGCACTCTAGGATTTGGGATTCCTTTCAGGCCCATGGCTGAGGGGAAGACTCAAATCAAGGAGCTGTTAGGAGGGGCTGAGCAGGCCTCTGGACAGAACTCAGGGATGGCATCGTCCCCTCCAGGTTGACCTGCCTCAGCCAGCCCCAGAATCACAACAGCACAAGGGGTCAGAGGTCAGGCACAGCCAGGCTTGCGGGACACTCACCCTCAGCGATGGCGCCCAGTACCAAGATGCCCGACTCTTTGACCACCCACTCAGGGTGGAAGAGGAGGCCCTTGAGCAGAGGAAGGAGGTGGGGCAGTAGTTCCTCCCGGAAGACGTTGGCCAAGACGTCCAGTGCAGCTGCCGAGCACTTCCCTGGGGTGGGAACAGAAATCAGGGGATGTGCTCAGGGAAGCCTGTCAGGCAAGGCCTCCTCGACCATACCCCCAGAGCAGAGATCGTGATCAGAATCTTCACAATCTACTCCACATAGGCTTCTCATCGACTCCCGAGAGGGAGTCCAGGGCTGGCTTCTCCCTACCCACCACCACCAAACCCTGCCAGGGCCACGCACTCAGATTCCAGTCGGACAAAGCATCATCATCATCATCATCTTCTGCGTCCTCAGAGCCGTCAGGCCGCTCAGCCTCATGGGGTAGCGTCACTGTGCGCGACTTGTGGAAGCGTGGCTTAATGTCCTGCTCACTATCAGGGACCGCCTCGTCCTCCTCCACATCCCCCTGTGGGCCAGGCAGACCACTAAGGACCACCACAGTCCCAGCCCCTACAACCCGGCCCTCACTTGCCAGCCTGTGCCCAGTGGTCAACCCCAGCTGACCTTGAGCAGGATGATGTCAATTTCCGAGTACTTCATCCCATTTACCAGGATGGGGATCAACCTGTTGGAAGAGAGGCTGTTCATTAGGAGGCAGGCCCCCTGGGGGCTCAAAGCCTGAGCAAGAGGGAAGCAGAGGTACAAATGGGGGCATCAAAGGCCAACTGCACTGAGCACGCTGATTCTATTGGCCCTGCATCCATTCATTTCCCTTAATGGGAACTGTCTCAACCTAGTCTCAGCTACTGTAACAGGAACAGAGCTGACACAACTCCTGGCTCCACTGGAAGGCTCCTGCCCCAGACCTGGCCACTCTAGGAACTACCAACCCCTGAATACACTGAGCTTAGAACACTGTCTAATCCCTAGCATGCCGTAAGGCAGGGACACGTGGCACTTCACTGGGATGGGGCCAGATTAGGGGAGCAAACAAGCAGGGCAGCCAGGCCCCTCAGCTGGAGCCCCGTGTACCTCAGGACTGGAAACTTTGACTAGAGCCTTCATTGATTTGGGGACAGGCAAGTCCAAGTTGGCCCTAGGACTTTTGCTGGAGATACTGATCAAGAGAGAAATTCTTTTCTCAGAGGTTCCTAAGCTATAAGGCTATAGAAGGCCACAGCACGACCATGAAAAAAAAAGTCACACCTGAGAACAAAGCTAACAGAGAAAGAAGATCTGAAACTAGACAGATGCCTTTCACATCTTTTGAGCACCTGGATCCAGCTATTCTTGAAGCCTTTGTTAACTTCTCATTTATTCCATCTATAACTTACCTAATTTTTAAGTCATTAAAGCTACCTTCATATCACTTGCAAAATCACAAGCATAGAAAGTAAACTGAGATAGAGGAGGTGAAGGTTGGGGTGGGACAGTGGGCAGGAGGTACACTCACTGGACAAGGTGGGAGGCCAGAACTTCCTTGCAGATAGGCTGCTCGGCCAGCGTCAGCCAGAACTCACAGGCCTCAAGGGCCACATTCTCATCGTGGTCCTGGGTCCTCTGCAGCATGTACTGGGGTGGGATGAGAGAAAGGATAAGGCCCTGTCCGACTAAGGGTGGCCCCTCTTTGCCCCTCACCCTGTAACACCCACCCAGGCCAGCACGGGTGTGCAAACCTGGATAATGCTATGCATGTGGGGGATAAGCCTGTCGATTCGCACTTCCAGCAGCATCACCAGAGCGCGGCATACATTCTTCCGTACCTCGGGGTCATCGTCCACAGCCAGGGCAAAGAGGTGCTGCAGAGAAGCCAGGGTCAGCCACAGCAGGGATTCCCAGCTCTCACCCTGCTCACCCCCAGCCCAGTGGCCTACCTCGATGAAGGTGTCAATATTGTCCATCAGCGCCTGCGCCCGGTCCATGATGAACTGGTTCACGCAGGCGATGGCATGGGACCTGGCAGAGATCGGGCAAGTGGGTCATCCCTGCCCCACCCATCCCAGGCCCCCTGCAGACTCCTGGGGGGCCACACCCACCGGATCTTGGGGCTGCAGTGCTTAAAGAACTGCAGGAACTTGGGGATCATGATGTTGAGGGGCCTGTTGAGAGCATCACTATCCAGGAGCTCAGACGAGTCTTCACAGATCTTCTGCAGGGCTCCAAAGGCTCCCTGAGTGGGGAAGAGCACACATGGGCGTGGGTCCCGGTCCAGCCCCTGCTCCTGCCCAGGCGGGCCATAGCTTGCCGCTTACCTCACACGTGTTGTAATCCTCTGAGTTGAGCAAGTTGCACAGCTGGGGCAGCAGCTCAGGCCACATCTGCAGCTCACCCTTGGAAGCGATGGTGGTGATGAGAATGCCTGGGTAGCCGGAAAGGACACTGCCTCAGCCCTCCCTGCCACTTTCAGGCGCTCTCCCCCATGAGCCCTACACACCCCTTCTGAGATCCTGTGCTTCAATGTAAATCAGCTCTGTTCCAGGCCTGGGGATACAGTGCAAAACTAAACACAAAGTCCCTGCACTTGGGAGCTGACTGTCTAGTGAGGGAGGCTAGGAGGTCAAGATTAACCTGCAAAAGCCCTGGGAGGGTAGATGCCAAGAGCTAAGGTAGGGAAGTGAAGCAGAGAAGATGGCTAGTAGGGGCTGAGAGTAAGGGTAGCAATTTAAAATTGGGTGTTCAGAGTTTCCCCAAGTGACATCTTGACACGTGAGCAAAGACCTAAAGATTAGAGAGAAGTCATCTAGGTCCCTGGGAAAAAGAGCATCCTAGGCAGAGGGAATGCCAGGTACAAAAGCCTGGGAGTAGGCCTGGGGAGCTTACAGATGGGTGAGGAGCCAGTAGGGTGAAGTGGGAAGAAGCGAGTGCTGGGAGGGGGCAGAGGGCAGTTCTTGGCAGGGCCGTATGGCCTCAGAGAAGACTTATACAGCTTACTAGAAACCCAAGTACAACCTGCAGTAGGCATATGAAGCATGAAGGCAGTGGAGGGGTCTGGCAGCTAAGGTGAATGCAGGTGATGTCAGTGCAGGTGGTATTTAAAGCCAGCAGGTGGCAGTCTTTCCCAAAGAAGCTGCCACTGCTAATACTCCAGATGACCCTGGCTCACACACCTGCTAGGAATAGTGCTCCTTGTAGTAGAGAGTATAGTCCCGATACCATCTCTGTCTGTGTGACACTGGCCACATCTCCTAACCTCTCTGTGCCTCAATGGGGATAAAGACCACTGGCTTCCTAGGGCTACCAGGAAACTTCAGTGACTTAACTCAAGTATTCAGAGCAGAACCTGATACCTGGAATGAGCTTGGTAAGTCTAGATCCTTCTGCGGGCCTGAGAGGGGGTACTATAAGGGCTAAGGGTCACTTTTAACAGAGGCAGCAAGCCCCAAGTTCAGCCCTTTAAGCAGGCCCCAGCATCTTAACTCAAAATTAAATTTTTTTGTTTTTATTGCATTTTAAGACTACCTTCCCTTTAGAGCAGGGGTCACCAACCCCCAGGCTGTGAATAGGTACCGGTCCATGGCCTGTTAGGAACCAGGCTGCACAGCAGGAGGTGAGCGGTGGGCAAGCAAGCAAAGCTTCATCCATATTTGCGGCCGCTCCCCAGGGCTAGCATCACTGCCTCAGCTCCACCTCAGATCATCAGGCATTAAATTCTCACAGGAGCACCAGTCCCTGGTGCCAGAAAGGTTGGGGACCACTGCTTTAGGGCAAGCAAATCTGTATTTATATTTAAAACGAGTATATACAACATTCTTTTAAAAGCAAATTTTAGAAGTTGAAATAGATTTAAGAAAAAAATGTAAATCATATGTCAATTATACCTCAATAAAGCTGGGGCGGGGGGAGAAAGTAAGTCAGCCATAAATAGTAGAGTTCGTACTTATCAGTAATAAAAAGACTTAAAGATTGCAGAAAATTCTTGGTCATCCTGTTAACTCCCTCAGGCAGCCTTCCGGAGTCTGTAAGGCTCCAAGACAAAGCTAACTCACATTTCAGCTAAATCATTATTGGTCTGATTTAGTTCAGTCAAATCATTAATGACACCAAACTCCACAACAGCAGGGAGCTCTGATTTCATTCTGCTACGCATTGAGGACCTAACACAAAATTCTGGACATTGAGTGACTCAGAAGCAAGAATGGCTATTTCAGGAGGGGGTGGTTCAGAGCATGGACCTGCGCTGGTCACTGCTGAGCTCTGCTACTTACAGGCAAGTCCCTTAACCTCTCTGTGCCTCAGTTTCCTCATCTGCAAAGTGGCAATAGTAATAGTTCTACCATCCACAGAGAATCGATACGCTTAACATGCTGAGATGCTTCTTGATCAAGAGGGCTCAGCAATTACTGCTGCCCCCCTCACCTATGGTGGCTCGGATGAGAGAGGAGGCGTCACCGATGTTGTTGAGACACTCCTGTTTGATGAAGTCAGCCACAGGCGGTGGAAAGCTCTGGTAATGCGCCTTCACGTTGTTCTTGAGGATGAGACCACTGAGAGAGCGAGTCGGCTCATCTGGAGGAAGAGAGCTGAGGCTCAGAGGACCACGAGGGAAGGAGTGGGGTCCGGCCTGCATGGAGGGGCACCGAGGGCAACATACCTTCTGACTTGAGTCTGGTCAGGACGAAGATCAGGTAGTTGTTGAAGTCAGGAAACTGGTTCAGCTGTTTGAGTTTCTGCCAAGTTGTTAAGGGACTTGGGAGACAAGGGCCTTCCCCATGTGAGGCCCCCTTACTGCCATGTTGCAGATAGTACCTCTGATCACTAGGACCAGGCAGCCAGTTCCTAGGACCCTACCTGTCAACCCCCATGCCCAGAAGAATGTAGCATTTAAGGCACATCAAATTCATCTGGGGTGGGGGGACGCAAGCATAAGCTCCCCACCACTCCTGAAGACCTGGCCAGAGCAGCAGAGGGATGGCAGACGTGTCTATCTGATGGGGGTAGCTGCTACTCAGCTCTGCTCACGAGCAGTTCAATGTTGCCTGCTTTTTTAAAAAACGGAATACATCAAGTAAAACTCCCCTGTGGTTTAAATATTTTAGAAGTTTAACTTACAGTATTTTAATCAATTGAAACAAAAATTTTAACCATGAACCTAACAAAAGCTGAGTGCCAACTAGAGGTGTTCCCCCACCCCACCCCCACAGGGCCAAATTTCCTCTGGGAATGAGATCCAAAATCTATAATCCTTAATTCTCTGCCTAGGACAGCTCCTAGCCACAGGAGAAAGTTTGGGAAGTAGTGGGTAGGCCCCGTCCTCTCTGGCCGTCAGGGGCTGCAGATGTCTCTGCCCAGTTCCCCTAAGCCCGGAAGGAAGGAAGGATACATCCTGCACTATACGCTGTGTGGCTGTGTTGGGTGACTGCGAGTCTTTGAGCAGTTGTAGGACCTGCTGCAGGCCCTGCTCATCTGGCTGCCAGTCCATGGCGCAAGGCGAGCTGCGGGGGTAGGGGCCGAAGTCAGCGCTGGGTCCCGGAGACTCCGCTTGAGACCCAGGCAGAGCCCCCAAGGAGGTGGCGGCGGCGGCGGCGGCGGCGGTACGACGCGAGCGCCCTCGGTGGACAGGAGGAAGCCGCCAATAAACGCCAGACCAAGTGCAGGGTCCCCTCCAGCTACGCATCCACCGCCGCGCAGTCGCGGGCTCGAGAGCGCGGGCGGGGGGATGTGGAAAAAAGCCATGGGAGGCGGTGGCAGGGCCCGGCGGATCCTGATCCGGCCTTGTTCGAAGCTTTAGTCCTAGGACAGCCCCTGCCGCCGCCTCCGACTGCGGGCCCTAAGGCTTTCATCTCTTTTGCAGCCGCTAGGCGAAGGCCCAGCCACCTCTCTCCATCCAGGAGCCCTGCCCTAGACAGCGAAAGTGCCCCAGTCTCCGTGGTCTCCCCGGTGTAGGCACAGTCCCCGAAGATCTCCTTCTCCCAAAATCTAGCACCGCCAAATCCCAGATGCCTCCTCTGCCCCGGACTGGTCCCTGAGCTTCTCCAGGTGCACTGTCCCAAGGCGCTCCGATCGTCCTGACCCCCGCTGCCTCCCCTAATCCCGCCCAACAAGCTCAGCCGGATGCCAGAAGCCCCCCTTTCTAGCCTAGCTAGACTTCATCCAGCGATTCTCCTTAATCAGGTCAGAATGAATCGCCAGACAGGTCCGTGTCGCTTTTCTGTAAGAGAGCCAGCCAAGCCCGCCCGCCCCGCGACAGAGGCCCCATGGACAGGTCCCTGTCCCTTTCTCTAATCAGATCTGGCCAAGCCTTCCCCCCGATTCCCGCCCCCAGCCACAGCGAACAGTAACTCCCGCTGACAGATCTCCGATGCTTCCCCCAGTCAAGTTCCGCCAAGCCCCCCACCAACTCGAACCGGAAACCCCTTTCATCCGACCCCTGCGGCTTCCCCCAATGAGGCCTGGTGGAACACCCCCCGGAGCATCCCCCTCAACGGATCTGAGATGCCTCGCAGTCAGACCCAGCAAAGCCCTCCAAGCCGAAGTCTGACGCCCCTCCCTATCAGCCCAACAAGCCCCTGCCCCCAACTTTTCATTGCGGCCTCCCCCAACCAGATCCAACCAAGTCCCGCCGAAAAAGCCCCCGATCCACACACACCCGATCCTCGCGATGTCCCCCAATCAGATCCCCTCCAGCCCGACCCCAAGCGCCCCAACTGGCCCGATCCTCGTGGCACCGAGACCTCGCCCGGCTCCGAGGCCCCACCCCCTAAGCCCGGCTCGGTTTTCCCCTCCCCCCTGGCCCGTTCTTGCTGCCTCAAGAATCGGGCCCAACTGGGTTCTCGGCCTTCCCGGGTCAGGCGCGGCCCCGACGCCTGGGCCGCGCGCGGCACAGGCCCAGACCCTGGCGGCGGTCGACGCATGCCGGGGCGGAGCCGGTCTGGCTCCGGTGAGGCCTACTTACCAGGCCCGGGGCGGCAGCGGCGGGGCCTTGCGCTGTGGCTTCTCAGGAGACTCGCGCGGAAGGAGGGAGCCAAAGAGAGGGAATTAAAAAAAAAAAGAAAGAAAACGCGGCCTTGGATGAGCCAAGGCGGCTTCCGTACGCCGTTCAAATTGGTCCAGCACAGCCAATCGGAAGGAGTAGCTAGCACACGTGGCCTGGCACCCGGGAGATCCAGGCCCCGCTGATGCCGAACCACGTGACCGAAGAGTCGCAGACTCTCTCAGCCTCTCTAGCCCGCCGGTCCTCCGAGAGTCTTGTTTTTCTCGGTGGCTCTCACACCCGCCTGACAGCAGCTCTTCGCTTGAACTGAGTTTGGTGGCACGTGAGGACTTTCGAGGTGTCGTGGACCCGGGAACCTCTTGGCCAGAGCCAACTGTGTCTTCGTCATCTCCTCCTCTAAGAATTGAGCTGTGTCTCCGCACCCCTCCCCATCCAG